CATCTTTTTTTTTTTTTATTTTTTTTGGAGACAGAGTCTCACTCTTTTCCCCCGGGGCTGAGTTGCAGCTGGCACAATCTCGGCTCCACTGCAACTGCGCCTTCCCGGGTTCACCGCCACTCTCCTGCTTCAGCCTCCTGAGTAGCTTGGGACTACAGGGCGCCCGCCACCGGCCGGCTTAATTTTTCGTATATTTTTAGTAGAGACGATGGTTTCACTGTGTCTCGATCTCCTGACCTTAGCTGATCGGCCCGCCTTCGGCCTTCCAAAGTGCGGGCATACCAGGTGTGAGGCCACTTGCGCCTACTATATATGTTATTTATAACATAAACTACCACAAGAGGCAGGTTTTGTTTTTGTTTTTTTTGGTTTTTGTTTCTTTTGAGACAATCTTCACTCTGTGCCGGACTGGGAGTTTAAGTGCAGTTGTGGATCTTGGGCTTCACTGCAGCCTTCCAACCTCCCAAGGCATCAGGTTGATTCTCCCACTCAGGCCCTCGGCGAGTTAGGCTGGATTATAGGCATGCGCCTCCCATGCCTGGCTAATTTTTTTATATTTTAGTAGAGATGGGAGTTTTCGCTTGGTTGGCCCAAGGCTGGTTCTCCAAAGCTCCTAGAGCTCCAGCAAATCTGCGCTTAGAATGTACCTGGCACAAAATAGACATTTACCATTTGCTGAATAATAACTACTATTTGCTAAATACACCCCTGTTGAATAGTCCAGGAAACTGCAACACAGAGAGGTTAAGTCACTTGTCCAAGTTCACACAGCTCCTAAAGGACAGAGATGGAATTTGAACCCATCCATCTGGTTCTAGAGCCCAGGCTCGATAGTTATGGATATTTAATAACCAAGTGAATAACTGGATGACCAGATCCTTACAGAGCACCCCCGCCATCCCTGTCTCACACACGTGTATACCATTAAGGGAAATGGCGCCCGCATGTAATAGCAGAGGCAGAACTTGACATTTTCAGGGCCCTGACACCCAGGCATGTCTTCTTCCCATGCTTCCCAGCATTATGCCTTCCTGACGACTTCCCCTCCTATTTCCCCAGGTAAGGAGCATGCCAGCGCCTCGGCTAATGGGGTAAGTGCAGTGCTGGAGCTAAGGAGGGTGTGGGGTCTGCACAGACTACAGACCAGACGTCTCCAGATGCCCGCAAGAGCCTGGATCTTTTCTCCTGGTGCCCCAAGCAGCATTTCCCAACCCTTCCTGCTGGGCAGAATCCGCTGTAGAGTTTGCTAAGACGCAGCCCCAGACAGTCTGGTCTGTGATAGGGCCAGGGAATCTGCATTTTAATATCCACCCTCCCCCGACCCGGCCTCAATTCCACCCGTGGCCACACCTTGAGAAGCACCGCCCTGGCTTCCAGGGAGAGGGGAGGGGATGGGCCTGCCGTTCTTTGCACATTGGGCTTCGGTGGGAAGGTGTTTGATTTTGTTCAAAAGAGCCCTGAGGCTAAAGTGTGAAAACCCTCTTCTAGTATATCTCCTATTCAGATGTGAGCAGAGAGGCCAGCTTTTGCCAGGATCCACAGACAGAGGGCACAAGGTGACACCGTCGGGACTGAGCAGGGAGAGAGACTGGAGCTGGCAAGGACATGGGCCTCCGGAGTTGGACCCCGCCCCAATGGATGAAGACCCCCTCCAAAGAGACCAGCCTCCCTCCCTGTGCCAGACCTCAAAACGAGGGGGGCAGGTGCAAGTTCAGAGGTCTCCAAGACCACCCTCCGTTCATTGCTAGAAGGACTCACTAGACTCAGGAAAGCTGTTAGGCTCACAGTTACAGCTTGTTACAGTAAAAAGATAGGGATTAAGATCAGCACAGGGAGGAGGTGCACAGCCCACACTCCAGGAGAGATGAGGCGCCAGCTACCAGCTGCCGTCTCCCAGTGGAGCCATAGAGGCAGCACCTGATTCTCACAGCAACGACATGTGACGACATGCAAGTACTGCCAACCAGAGCAGCTCACTCGAGATCTTCGTGTCCAGAGTTTTTTGTTTGTCTTGAGACAGGGTCTGGCTCTGTTGGCCCACTGGAGTGCACTGGTGAAATCACAGCTCATTGCAGCCTTGACTTCTCAACTCCAAGTCATCCTCCCACCTCAGCCTCCTGAGTAGCTACGACTACAGGTATGTGCCACCATGTCTGGCTAATCTTTTTATTATTTGTAGAGATGAGGTCTCCCTGTGTTGCCCAGGCTGGTCTTGAACTCTTGGCTTCAAGTGATACTTCTGCCTTGGCCTCCCAAGCGTGCTGAATTAAGAGTCACCACCCCACATGGACTGACCTCATACATCCCAAGCCAACTACTCCTGGGGCCCAAGACCCCACCATAAAATCACCATCATTTATGATGTGGCCCAGAGTGGCCCAAGACTCTCAGATCAGCTACCAGCAGGATATTTCAAGGGCTTGGAGATGGAATGCCCAGAGCTGAGGATAAAGGGCCTCATCTTAGGCCGGGCAGGCGGTGGCTCAGCCTGTAATCCAGCACTTTGGGAGGCACCGAGACGGGCGGATCTACGAGGTCAGATCGAAGACTATCCTGGCAAACATGGTGAAACCCCGTCTTCTCATCAAAATACAAAAAACACTAGCCGGCGTGGTGTGGCGGGCGCCCTGTCAGTCCTGCGCTACTTGGGGGCTGAGGCGGGAGAATGGCGGGAACCCGGAGCGGAGCTTGCAGTGAGCTAGAGATCCGCACTGCACCTCCAGGCCTGGGGAGGGCACAGCGAGACACTCCCGTCTCAAAACAAAAAAAAAAAAGGGCCTCATCTTTGTTTGGGCAAGGTTAAGCCTCTACTGCATAGCAGACCACACAGAAGGGTGTGGACCACCAGAGAATTTTGGTAAAAATTTGGCCTCTGGCCTTGAGCTTCCAATTCTCTGTGTCCGTCAGACTTCTGTGGTTACAAGAAATAGCCGCTGACCCTGGTCACCAGAGGCTGCAACTCAGGCCGCAAGCAACTGCCTGGGGCGTGTCGAAGGAGCAGAGACAACTACTGGATGTGAACTTGAAGAAGGTAGTCAGCTGCCGCCACTTTTGGCCAGCATCTGCAGCCAGCAAGCTGGGACTGGCAGGAAATAACCCACAAAAGAAGCAAATGCTATTTCCAGCTCCAGGGGGAGGGGATGCAGGGGGAGGCGGCACTGCAGTTGCTCAGGACACGCTCCTGTAGGACCAAGATGGATGCGACCCAAGACCCAGGAGGCTGAGCTGCTCAGATGCAACTGATAAGTTTACTTTAAAAAGGTCTATGATCTTGAGGGCAGACACCAGAATTCCTCTTATAAAGAAAACTGTTTGGGAAAATACCTTGAGGGAGAAAAGATCTTGGGCCAAGATGCTGAATGAGAATGCAAAGCCTGAGCTGCTCTGCAAGAGAAAATAAGCGGGACGGAGGATTTGCTGTGGACAGAGATGGAAGAGTGGGGAACAGAGAAGTGTGGGGAAGAGATACAAACCAGCAGGATGGCAGGGGCAAAGGGTTCAAGGGGTGATGAGGCCAGTGGGACCCCACAGAGTTGGGGAGACAAAGGAACATTGGTTGCTTTGGTGGCACATAAGCTCCTTGTCTTCCTCCAGTGCCCAAAATCTCATTAAAGCTTATTTATTTACCTCCAGTGGCTGTGTGCAATGGGGTCTCTTGTGGAAATGAAGGAGGAGATGGGTTTCGTGTGTAGCATCACCACATGGGATGGAACCAGAAACATGGAAGCAAGATGCTAAATGAAGAAGGCTGTGAGGGCTGGGGTTCTCAGGCACCTTAGGAACAGCCTGTCTTTTTTTTTTTCTCTCTCCAAAAAAATTTAAGAGACAGTGTCTACTGTCACCCAGGCTGGAGTGCAGTGACATGATCATAGCTCATTGTAGCCTCTAACTCCGAGGATCAAGCAATCCTCCCACCTCAGCCTCCCAAGTAGCTGGGACCACAGGTGCCCCTCACCATGCCAAGCTAATTTTTTAAAATTAGATAGTACAGAAACTTCCCAAAACTGGAAGTTATAAAAAGACATGAGGGATCCGTTCTAATTTGTGTTTAGAGTATAATGGTCCAGCTCCATTCTTTTGCACGTGGATATCCAGTTTTACACAACACTATGAATGTAATGAATGCCACTGAATCATATACTCAAAAATAGCTAAAATGGCAGGCGGTGCCAGGCCTTTTCTGCAGTTTCTAGAGTACAATCTATGTCTTTGCCTTTTCCAGCTTTTAGAGGCCACCTGCGTTCCTCAGCTCATAGATCCTTCCTCACATCACTCTGACTTCTGCTTCCCTCACTACATCACCTTCTCTGACTCTGATCCTTCTGCTTCTCGCTTATAAGAACCCGTGTGATTACATTGGGTCTAACCTGGATAATCCAGGATGGTCTCCTCATCTCAAGATTCTTAACTAACTACATCTGTAAAGTCCCTTTTGCCATGCAATGTAATATAGTCTCAGATTCAATGGATTCTGAGAGGACCGTCTTTGGAGCAGGAGGAGAAGGCATATTATTCTGCCTACCACACTTAAACTTCATTTAGCTGCCAAGTAAGAAGTGCATTCATCCTGGGACAGCTATGCTGGAGAGGCCACATGGAGGCACCTCACGCCCCCACTGAGCTCCCAGGCAGCAACCAACATCAGAAGCAAGTCACAGAGTGAGCCATTTCGGACATCATCCCAGCCAAGGCTTCAGGTGACTGTAGTATAGCCCTGGCCACCATCTGACCGCAGCTACATAGAGACCCCAAGCAAGTCCTGTCCAGCAGACCACTTCCCAAATCCCCCACCCACAAAATGTGAGTGAACTAGAAGGGATGTTGTTAAATATGGGGGTAATTGGCTAGTCCACAATAGTAACCAGAATTTGGAATTTTTTTCTTTTTTTCAGTTCTAGACCTTTAATCTATACTTGAATACAACACTGAGCATTTTCTTTAAACCTCAGAAGAGGTTAAAAGAAGTTAAAATTCAGAGAGGAGAAAACTTGAGGATGAAGAAGTTTCCCTAGACACTCAGCCAATGTCACCGGCTTCATTTTCCCCTGTCTTGTTATGAAAGATTTGGTATACATACAGGATCTGTATAATGGAGTATGTGCAGTTTACAAAATGATAATGGTACAGAAGGATTTGTTTTCTAAACCCAAATAGTGGAGAGAACAAAATGCAATGAGGAAGAAGCCTCCATTTCAGAACCCACAGGCCCTGCCCGACTGCCCACCTGACCAGGTAATTCGTGGCTTTGCTTTTTGGCAGCAACGCCACCTGGCGGCCATACCACTCACTGCAGCTCCAGGCACAGGTACACTATCGCGGTCGCCAGGTAGTGTGCAGGGCTGCCTCTGCTGCAGTGGCTCGGCAGACAGTGCGCCTTTGTCTGCCCAGTGTCTCCTCCAGTCCATACCAAAAGCACTGTCTCCTCCAGGGTCAAGCTCCCGGGGAGGTAGCTAGGGCCAGGTGGGGATCAGAGTGGGGAAACAGCAGCAGGATGAGGTATCCACATTCTGCCCCACTACCCAGGACAGTGACTCAAACTCTTCAGGCTGGAACTACAGGCTGCATGGAGTCCTGGTGAGATGGGGGTTCAACCTGACTTGGAGTGGTCAGGACTAGCCAGTGGGTATCTGGGGTAGGTGGGCTCTTGGAGATCTGAATGATAAATGCAATGGCCAATCTGCTGTTAGCCGAGGCGAAAGCACAGTACAACTTACTCGGAGGCAGTGGATCAATGGGAGTTGTGGGTGGCATGAAACGGAGGCTGAATGAGAAGCAAAGAGGCCAATGGACTGTGCAGTCTACTCCATTGAGCATCCATGCCCTCTGCAGGTGTGAGAACTTTCTATATAAATTAGAAGTATTGTCTTCATTATCATCATTATTGTTCATTAGTCTTAATTCTCATCCTCATTAGGCATCAGGCTTCCCAGTTACGTAACTACTTGAGGGGTTCTTCCTGCCCACTGTATGAAGAAAGACCATGGTAGTAAAGAAACAGTTTAGTAGACATGAGGCTGGCCACACCACATGGGAGGTGGAGTTTGAACTCAAATCATCTCCTAGAAAGATATCTCAAAAGGCCATAGTGTTGTTGTTTTCAGGAGTAACTGGGGAAGTTGCATATCTTATAGCCTCTGAAATAATGTCTGCACCTTAACAGGACTCAGCCTTCTCTCCCCCTCAGCTGGATGGCCTCGTGTTACAGGAAAAGAGTCCCCATCCAGCAAGACCCCAAGAGAGGGTTCTTGGATCTCACACAAGAAGGAATTCAGGGCAAGTCCGTGGTGCAAAGCAAAAGCGAGTTTATTAAGGAAGTACAGTGGTGAAAGGACAGTTACTGCATAGGCAAGAGTAGGGCGTTCCTGAAAGTAAGAGGAGGAATGCGTCTACCCTAGGTATGATGCTGCTATCAAGCAAAGATATAGATTGTACTCTAGGAACAGGGAGATGTGCTCTGCTACAAGGGTTTGTGATAAAGGATTAATTTTCTTAATTACTGTATTTTGCAAGATACTATTATCTTTAAAGTAAAATTAAATTAGGGATGCCTTTGTTCTCCAGATATTGACATATCGGGACACTCCCAAGTCTAGGTCTGTTTTATTCCCTTAACCATAAACATCTAGAGGCTAGGAATGCCTCACTTTCTGAGAATGAACCCCAGCAAGTCCCAGCCTCATTTTCCTAGCCCTTATTCAAAATGGAGTCGCTGTGGTTCAGACGCCTCTGACACTCCTATTAGCTTTACCAAAGCAGTTGAGTTTTGGGCAAGACCTACTATTTAAACTGTAGCCTAAATGTCTTCCAAAGCTAGCTTGGCCCAATAGCCCAGGAATAATTAAGGGAAGGGCAAGATGGGGGTTGGATTAGTGTTATAATTTTCTCACTGATATATCTTTTGC